TTACATTCGATCCATACATTAACAACTCTACAAGAATACCTCCAGGTAGCAGCTGTCCCATACTTTATTTATTTTCGGGTACCTCATAGTTCTGTTGCGCTGATTTCCTCTATTGTTTCTCGCGAAAATTTTAGAAAATGATATTATGTTTTTTGTATGTTATATGACATGTACGTCACGAAAAACCATGCCACACATTTCCGTCGGTCTGTGTGTCTGACTGTCGGACTGTGTCTGTCTGTCGGTCCGCAAATCTTATAACCTATAACTTGAGAAGTGCCGCTCGGATTTCGATAAAATTCTTACACAATGTTACTACTATGCGAGAGACGCAAAAGCTTTGTGGTTATTAAAAATCGGTACAGACGGAGCTGAGAAAACGGCCTTTATCGAGAAAAGTAGTAGTCGCTCCAGCTTCAATTTTTGACGTTTCAGAGGATCCTGATCGTTTTCGAAAAAAAAAATAGAGTCAAATTCTACGCACACATTAAACCTATTTCACACGTCGTAGATTTTTCTGTACATTAGCCCTGAGAACGAATCGCATACCTATCGGCCGCAGCTGCTGCTGGCATCATGCGCCGACCGGGCTATAAGGGGATACAGGGGAAAGGGGGAACCCCACGCGGACTCTGATGAGGGAACACGTGTGCATGCAACATGCACACATTCTGGCCCGCCTACGAGATCCGCCGGGTGGTACCTCTGCGTTCGACAGAGACCGTCTACCATCTACGGACAATTACAACATCCATAGCCAAGAGCAAAATTTCTCCTGGGACGGGAGTCGAACCCGCACAGCGCACAGCCACTGATCAGGAGACCGAGGAGTCTACTACTGCAGCCACCGCTGCTGCCTAAATTTCGCATTCACATATTGGTCCAACGTAGACCAACACCAATATGCGAACGCTATACCAAGACGCATTGATCGTTTTGGCCAGTATTGGAACTGGTTTCCTCAGCCAATAAATGATCCTGGGCCAACACTATATAGATAAGCAACTATGTACAGCAACAAACATGAATGAGATAAGCACTGATCCAGGATACGAGGGTATATCATAGATATGTTCTTGGAATAACTTTATTACATCATTTTCCATTTTTACACTGTATGTATTCGTGGAATGCATATACACCATGTAAGCACTTGCGGTAGGTTCTGCTTAACTAACGAATTTAAAATTTTGATTAACTGAACTAACGCACTGATGCACAAAATATATTTTCTGCGCAATAACGCTATTCTAAAATAAACTGGACTGGATGAAAAGCATCGGTACTAAGGTAATAGAAAGGGGTGGTTTCTTAAAGGAATCGGCTACAAAACAGCTACAAGTCAGCTACAGAGCTGTAGGAGTGTAGATGGTGGCTTTCCTCATTGCCTTCCCACGCTAAAGAGGTGAAAATCCCTTAAAAATGGAGAAAGTAGCACCCAAACCAAAACAAACAACTAAACGTAGGGTAGATACATAAAAAAGGTGCTACTCCATAAACTGGGGCCGAATATCCCAAAATCTGGAAATCAAACGAACGACCCACGCACCATATAACTTAGAATTCAACAGGAAAGAAAAATGAAAGACTCCAGACTTCCGGCCTTCCGTCAGTCAGTCAGTTGACTGTCAATCAGTGTCAAAAGTAGGAGGGCGTTCCAAAATTTTATACTCCACAGATTCCATGCCAAAAAAATTAATAATAACGAATGAGAAATCCAGATTCCCAACCAAACTGTCTAATATTCTGAGATAGTCGTTAATAAAATATCATAACATTAGTGTCCAAAAGACTTCAACACAATACTTAGCTGCTAAGAAAGACTTGCCGGCGAGTCGCCGAAAATAACGCATATGGAAATGCGTGGATTTTCTTTCTGGAATTTTATTTTAGAAATGCTCCTTATTAATTTGAAACTAAAACTTATGTATAAATAATAAATATCTATATTTACACCTTTTCTACTTATACAAAAACCACTTCTGCAAGTGTTACATACACATACAGGGTGTTCATTTGAAAACTTCCCGCCACGGATTTATCCAAAAACCACTGATTAAAAGAAAAAACGCCGCGACACGCCAAAAGATTTGTCAAGGAGAACAACTTTTTAATCAAAAACTACTTCACCCCCTTTCACCCTCTGCCCCCCAGGGTCATCCCCTCAATGATTTTGAATAAGAAAATCAGAAAAATCTTTTTTTCTTGATTTGTTCAGATAGAAAACAAAAACACTCGAATATATCACTTTTTCTATCAGTAAGTGTTCAAAATGTTGCCCGTAATTGGCCAAGTCATATTGTGGGATATCGTGGCAGCTTTCGATGATGCGTTGACGAAGTTCATCCAAACTTTTAGGTTGGCGAGTAAGCACAATAGATTTCTAATAAAAAAAGTCTAATGGCGACAAATCAGGATATCTAGCAGACCATTCTGTAGGCCCTCTTCGCCCTATCCATTTATCTGGAAACTCGTCGTCTAGCCATTGCCGAACATGAAGAACATAGTGAGGAGGAGTGCCAACTTGCTGTAAATATATTTAGCCTCATCAAGTATATGGTTTTCATCCTCTTCGATTTGGTTTTCAATGGTTTCAGTGATAAGCAGATTGATGGTATTTTTCAACATACACAAATACATGTCTCCATTCAAATTTCCATTAATAAACAAGGGCCCAATCACTTTGTTTTCTAAAATGCCTGACTATACATACATTTTTTGGGGTACTGGGTATGCCCTTCTATAAAAGCATGAGGATCTTCATTGCTCCAATACCTGCAGTTGCTTATTAACAAATCCAGATAAAATGTGGATTCATCACTGAAGCAGATATTCTCTCATTTTTTCACCTATCGAAATCATCTCCGGTGAACTCTTGCAATATTTTCATTTTGAGTGGATGCAATTTATGGAGTTTAGAAACCGTGTGTACAGAGCCTAATGAAATACCAGTCGCAGCAACAATTTTGCGTAATGAAGTGTTAGAACTTATTCCAAAATGACCCAAAACTTCAACTTGAGGGGCTTCATCCAAGACTCTCAGATGATCACGTTTTTTATTTGCAACAGATCCAGTTTGAGTAAGGTCCAAAACATACCTATGCGAGGTTATCTTCCCCGGATATCTGGCGTTAAACGTGACAACAGTTTTCCGAGCACATTGATTCTGGGCACCATAGATTAGAATCATTGCCACTCTTTCGGGGAGTGTGTAAACCATTTTGGAAGTAAAATCTGAATCAATAAATTAATTTTCACTATCCCAAGATTGTCACAAAGGCAGCTGACAGCAAATTAAATTCTTTCATTCCCTTAGCAACAAATAACTAAACAGATATAACAATAAATACAGTTTGCACAGGATAGCTGTATTGATGAGAAGGATGCGGAAAAAAATCGGGTTGTTATTTAGATTCCATTTTAAATTATAAACGAATTCTATATTTAGCAAACCCTAACGGGCAACATTTTGAACACTTATTGAAATAAAAAGTGAATTTTCGTGTGTTTTTGATTTCTATCTAAAAAAAATTAAGATAAATGAAGATTTTTCTAATTTTCTCAAAAACTTCGAAAGACCTTTCAAACAAGCTATTAATCGATACACCTTGTCATTCAAAATTCTTAAGGGGATGACCATGGGGGGCAGAGGATGGAAGGGAATGAAGTTGTTTTTAGTTAAAAAGTTTTCATCCTTGACAAATCCTATGATGTGCCTCGGCTTTTGTTTTTTAATAAGTGGTTTTCGATAAATCCGTGGTGGGAAGTTTTCAAATGAACACCCTGTATATGCAAGCTACCTAACTGATCATCATTTGCTATTATATACATTGTTTACATTGTATACATGATTATCAAGGCGTATTCAATTACAATTGTATATGTGTATATTTGTACAATGATGTATTTTACATAATACGCCCATCACTTCTTCGAAGATAAAAATAAAGAGGTTTTTGTTTTAATTTGCAATCATTTCATTCATAAGATTATCTGATAAATCATATCCTGGAAGGTTAGCACGTCATAAGGAATACCTTGTGTATTACAGATAAATTGTACACCTCTTATATGTACATAACTTGACTAAATTCATGATTTTGTCACTGAGACCTAAAATTTTTTTGCTTTTGAACATGATTTATGTAATGAATAAAACAACTGATATTTGACTGAAACTCCACACGACAATATTCATCAAACGCACCTTGTATCACATCCTACAAGTCGATCAAGTGTAAATGCGACATAAGTGCAACAAGCCTATACGATAAGCTTCCTGCAAAACTTGGTCATCCGTCAAAGCCGAATACGAGTTGCTTAGGCGCGTATTATCTGTTAAGAGATCAGTCTGGCACTCAATACTCGCATGTGCAAAAAATGGCGTCAAGTAGGTTCACTCTGCACTTCCCACACAACGCCGTTATCGGTTCATAAAGGATTATGTCCAGCACAAGCTAGATCCTCTAAGAAAAAAAGGCGAGGCAGAGCGGCCTAACTACAGGAGAGACACCAAGGCCGGCAGCACGCCGCAGGAAGCAAACAACGACGGGGTAAGCGATCCGTCTGCTCAGAATGTTTAGATTTAAGTTTTAAGGACTAATGTCCGGAGAAATCTGTAATGTGTAAGGTAAGTCTCGTAGGTACCAAGGTTGGGAGCGTATAAATATACTTACATGCAAAATTGGGATATACCATCCCCACCCACCTACAACCCCCACCCCCAAATTTTTGCTAATAAATTTGGTCAGGATACGCTGAAACGTCAAAAAAGTTTGAGCGATTTATATATTTTCCGTTTTTGGTCTTTTTCTCCACCCTCCCAGGACCGATCTCTCTCACTATCTCGATTATAATACTTCCCCGAAAGAAGGGGTGGAAAGTAAAAGGCACTAATGTGTAAGAGAAACAACGCTAGAGCCAAAACCGATCTCTGGGAACATGATCATTGACGTATTAGGATGAAAAGAGAAATGTCATAGAGTTGGAAAGTGAAAACTACAACAAAGTAAATAAAATTGGTATATTTCATTTTACCATTAAACACATAATGCTACAAAAAATGTAAATGTATCACAGATGAAACGTCTTCATATAAAATGTTTTCAACTTTCCTAATATTCTAACTTAAGTATGAAAATACACTTCGTACGTCTTGAATCTTTATCATACTACAAACGTATTCGAACCTCCAATACGTCATTATGGAAAAATATAGTACAATAATGTTGATTATCTATCCAAGTGTTACGTAATGAATTTTACAATAACGCTACAACATTTTCTATTGGTATATCTCATAGTTTGGGCGAAAGAGCTTAAAGTCTGATGTCTCGCTTTTGACTGGAGCAATTATTTATTTTCAATGTTTCAAAATATTATTTAGATTATTTCTATGATTCGAATAATGGATAATCAAATGATGTTGAGAGAAACTTCTCAATGTACAATATTCTGTGTCAAGCCAACTAGTGTGGACAGTAAGCTCATTTTACAGCAACAAAAACATACTTTACGGCGTTAAGCTTGAAACCTCTTGCAGGAGTGTGTGTGCAGGAGGTTGAGGCATTTTATCAAAAAATTTCAATAAATCGTTTGAAAATACAAAAATATATTATCCATCTCATCAATCGGCAATTTTAGACCTACCAATCATCCTGTATTGTATTTTAAATTTTAAGAAATCACTTGTTATCCGTCGCATACATTTGGAACCAAATGCATAAATTTGATTATGAATAAAACTGTAGGAATTTTACAAAATTGGATCCTTAAGATTGTTATCTAATTGCTATTGCTGAAACACTTCTCACACGAACCACTTTACTAACACCATCAAAAGTCCTACACAACTCAAACTATTTACACTTCCCGTGTTGCTTTGCTTCTCCCTGCCATGGATGATGCTGTTCTCCAACTCCCTCAGCGATTTGTCGATGGATTTGTTGATGCACCTGAGTAGGGGATAGTTGACAAAGCTCTCCTCGTCTCCCAGTGAACAATCACCATGGAAATCGTCCGTGTCTACTGACCAAACCATAATTCCAGCCAGGCCTTCCTCTGAAAACAAAACAGTCGTAAAATTAATGAAGAGGAACTTCCTCAATTTATCGTTCGGCTTAGTCTCTTTCTCCAACAAGAAACGGCATGCACCTGTCAAGTTAAATTGGATGGGAAGGGATGAAAGGGTCCATCAATTGCGATGACTAATTGTAAAAGCCATTAAACAAAACATTTTGACTTCAAAATATAACTGGAACAAGACTGTTTTTCTTAAAGACAGTTCATCCAAATTCAGTTGATCTTCAAATGACCTTGATGGTCATAGTGAAGGTCATGGATATACTTGCATAGGCATTTTCTTGCCCTTTTTATTTCCAGTGTCAAAAATAAGGGTTTTCATTTAAGAAAACCAAATGTCGTCAAGATCACGTTCAATGTCACTATTAGAAGAATATTTTCAAACCTAACAACTTTATTGTATAACATTTCTATTTATGAAACGTATTTTTTTATATATGTATTGTCAATATCACATTTAAGATCACCATTAGATGAATCTTTTCAAACCTTGCAACTTTGTTCCAAACAAGCGGAGTTAGACACTGACCGACAAAACCAGAAAGTCGTCAGTCCGCTCACGAGGCCATCACCTGACGTCATCGAGGTGGAGTCGGTCAAGTCAACACACGATCCACCTACATAACAGAAAAGGTTCCTGCAAGCGAATCTCAATCATGCAAAGGCCCTCAGGGGGTAAAATGTCATACTGTGCAGAAAGCCCAAAACCAAGAGCATGCATAGTATAAAGTAGAAGAGTAAAATGCACACCGATTCCAGTGCTCTGCACCGCCGACTTTGTTACAGCTACCCTCATTACATCAACCAAGGAGGGACATAGGACCTGGATTGTGTGTTCCGCCTACTTTCCAGGAGTGGAAGCTGTTTGCCCACCGCAGACCATGAACGACATAGTGGCCTATTATGAGGACAGACATGTCAAGCGTATCATGGGATGCGATGCGAATGCGCACCTCACTAGCTGGGAAAGCAGCAAAATCAATGCAAGAGGTGCGTCACTCGCAATTCATTAGTAGTGAAAGGTTGTTAGTATGTTAGTATCCAATATAGGAAGTAAACAAACTTTTATGGCAGCGGTTCTTAAAAAAGTCCTAGATTTGACACTGCCTACGGACGCGTTGAAAGGCAGCATCAAAAACTGGCATGTATCCGATAAACCTTCAGGTCCGGATCACATGCACATTAGATTCAACATCAAAATACCGACTCTCGTAGCAATTAAACATAGAAGCCCCAGAGAAACTGATTGGAAAGGTGTTACGGAGACTCTCAATCAGCTACTCCTAAAGGGGACGGTAAACTGCTGGGAGCTGGAAGGACTAGAAATATCGGTGGAACAAGTTGGTTAGGCATTAACGGCCGCCTACCATGAGAATTCACGCGATAAAAAGGTCCTTAGCAGGTCCAAAAGTGTCTGGTGGACAAAGCACCTTGCAAGCCGTAGGGCTTAGGTGGGAAGACTTTTCAACAAGATAAAGTACAATCATGACTGGGACAAGTATAGGACCCAACTAACATAGTACAACCTAGAGGTTCGAAAGGCCAAAAGGTACTCGTTGAGGAGGTTTTGCGAAGAACTGGAAAAAGGGTCAGAAGCATCCAGAATCCACAGGATACTGGCCAAGGACGGTAGTACTTTGGCGGATGTAGGTCTCATCATCAAAAAAGATAGTACCTACACAAAATCAGTCAAGGAAAGTATGGATTTTGCTAACAAAGGCACACTTTTTAGAATCATCGTTAATACCTGTCCAGAGCCGGAGATAAAAACCAGAGAGGCCTACCGCTGACTACTGGCAATGACGATAACAAGCCCAGACAAAGTCAAAGCCATAAATAAATTCCAGCCATTCAAATTCCTAGGAATAGAAGGCATATAGCCTGTTCTATTGCAAAAAGGGCAGTAAATGCTTATTACGCATCTAGTTAAAGTCTTCAAGGCTTGCTTGGCCAGAAATAGGTTCCCTATATGTGAAGGAAGGCAAAGGTAATCTAACTGCAGAAAATATGCAGATTTAACGACCAAATCATACAGGATAATATGCCTGACATCGTTCTCAGTAGCTGTCAGCATGCACATCAACTAGGGAAATCAATTGATTTGGCTCTCAATGACTTATGCAGGCTGCTATCTAAGGCATTAGATGTCCACGGACACAACTGTCCCAGTGTATAATTTAGACAAAAACTATCAAACGATAGTACCAGAAAGGAAGACGTGGGAAAAGGACCTCCTGTACGTGTCAAAATCTATTATTATGCAGACGGCTTAAAAACTGAAAACGGAGCTGGAGCTGGGATTTATGGGGCAAGGCCAAAAGCTGAGATCTCTATAAGTCTAGGTAATATTGCAACAATATTTAATAATAATAATAATAATAATAAATTGCTTTTATTGCTCAGGCTGAAGTAACGGCAATACAAGTCTGCACAAAAGAGCTAATAAGGAATTATACGTATACTGCAAACCAGTCGATCGCCATCTGCTCGTTTAGCCAGGCAGCCATAAAGGCATTAAATTCATCGCAAACATCGACTATACTAGTATGGAATTGCGTGAACATTCTTAAACAGCTGGCAAACCTAAACAAGGTAACATTGCTCTGGATACCAGGTCAATCACCAGATCCTTTCTGTGCGTGACGAGAACATGCACTAAACAGCTTCCTAGACTGGTGGAACAGCCAACTGGGGCAAAGGCAAGCACAAGGGTTCATCAAAGAACGAAGGTCCACATTTACAGAGGACCTACTCGGATTCAACATGAAAGCCGTAAATGCTATAGTGGGTCGCCTAAAGATATATGAAGCTCTTGAGTCTGTCAGAAGAGGTCTCATGCCGTTTCTGCAGACAGCATGAGGAAACCCCAGTGCATCTTCTGTGTAACTGTGAAGGCCTGGCAAGGCTACGGTTTCAGACAGTAGGAACCACAGGACTAACAGCGGAAAGCTACATGCAAGGCCCTCCGTCAGTACAAATCTGATTAAAGGATCAAGGCTGGACGCAGTGCTTTAGAGAGCATATGTGGGGGTCACAGTAGATCCAACTGGGGCGCAGTGACGTTGGGGCTGGCAAGCCAACCCCTTTCTTTTGTAATCATAGATAGTCGATTCTTGTCAAATAGGACGGACCAAGTATCTCGTTTAAAAGTTATTAAAATAAACGTTGGTCTACTCTGTCCTGGTAATCATGTATATAAAATTTTATATAAAAACTTTATTCTCATTATTTTTGGGTATTTTTTTCAATACGAGAGATTGTACCTGCAGAATCTGTACATATTTTTTCAATATACTATACTAGATCAACATAAAAAATGGTGCCAAACAGGTTGATTCTGTACTTCCCACTCAACGCTGGCACCAGTCCATAAAAGATTATGTTTTGTACCAGTTAGCTCGTTTCAGTGAAAACTAAACTTGTACGAACATATATAATAAAGGAATTAAAGCTTTGTCCCAACTTGGATACTGATTTTGATTCTGTGTATTACATTTTTCTGAATTCTTGTGTAATATACATTTTAAATATACAAATAGCCTTTGGCTGAATTTCGCCCTCCATAAAGCCGGTATATTACTTTTATTATTGTATGAAGCCGCAAATACTTAGGTACATTCACTCCAACAAACCACAGAACTGGTATTTGTCGATCTGGCAACATTGCTGGTAGCAGTCAGAATTATCTAACTTAACCGCCATTTGCCGTTTGTTTTAGTTATAGCTCTTCTGTGCATGTCAGTTCCTTTAGTTCTCGGTTCAGTGCAGGTACCGATATCACCATAACAAAACCGTCCCAAATCGATCCCAAAACGGGTTGGAACACAATGCAAAACCATTCTGTTACTGTGGCGGACAAGGTTTGAACACTTTTTCCTAAATGCGCAAGCGCGTCACTGTTCCGGCACGGTTTTACGACGGGTTGGGACAAAACTTAAATGAATCAAGTCAACCGAATAGGCCTATGCAATTAGTCCATAGTCACCACCCGTTTGACAACGAGGCAATCTAGAAATCTCTCCTCTGTCCTACTGACCTTCCGACAACGTTGCGATACAAGTTGCCGACCCAGCCAATACGCTTGGCAGGTAAAACAAAAATACAATATCCAAACTATGTCTGCAATACTAGAAACAGAAATATCCAAATCGCCTACTCAATCCAAAGACCAACCATACCATATAATACAAGTAGGTATCCAAATCGTAATTTTCAAGTATTGATTAAATGCTGGCTAACAAATCTTCCAAATTATGTAATAATAAAATTCACATAGCTGTATTAAAATATTATATCTGGAACTCAAAATCACAAAAAATATACAAAGCTAATTTTTCATGACGTACTTTATCGGCACTACACCTGTCAACCGTGTACCATCCAATAAATGTTACACCAAGTCAACAACAGTTTTTTTTTGTAACGTGTTTATCGCGTTCATCGAAATGCCTCAAACGTTTATTCAAAGTACTATATTGGCACTCGTTTTCGGGAAATCTGTATAAAATCAACGCTCTAATCCTAAGAGAGTTCCTATAACATTTACATGAGTTCTTATCACTTGATCTATTCCGATAGCATATTTCAATAACAAAAATATTTATTAAAATCCTAAAAAAATGATCATTTGAAGCTCAAATATCATTAGAATGTTGCTACTAGGTTTGAAGATGACCCATCGTCTTAGTTCCTGAAACTTTAGAAAAGCAATTTTTCAATATCTGAGGTTTAATTTATCGACCAAGACAACATATAGATTTATTATGAATACTTACTTATGGCAAAATGTACTTTCTCAGCAACAGACTGTTCATTGTCATACGTCATGACTTTGTCTTCATCTACTGCAAATGGCGTCTGTGTTTCGCTATCCCAGTGTACTCGCCAGTTCGCTGATGTGTTTTTTAGTTCCAGGCAGATCTAAGAAAGTAATTTTGTTTATTACGGAGAATAATTTCTGCTAAATATGTACAATATGTATAAAAACAATGTTTTTCGTCGTCAAGTATTGAACAATAACAAATATGAAAGGAAAATTGAGCTTTGGATTTGTCAACCGTATGCAATTTCAATAACCTTTTACCAGAAAGATTGCAATGGATTCAATATTTTAACACTTACATAACAGTTTCGGCACGGTATAAATGACATAAAAATGCATAACTATGAAACTAGCTTTGTAGATACGCCTATTCAAATTAACACGGTACATCTGTGAGATTTTCGAAGCGCCATATCTGATATAGAAAAATAATGAATCGCCAGCCTAACCTCCATTCACAACTGATTCGAGAATTTTTGATAACCCTCAAAAAGAGATGTCTTATTACGTCACGTATCCTGTATCATCCGAATTATCTGACAGTTGACGATTGACACAGAGAAATGCTGTAAAAGATTTTTATTCATTCGTTAATGTACATATGTATGTGTATGTATGTATATGACACAACCAGAACCATTTTTTTCAACATAACTAACCTCATTATAACCTAAGAATCCATTTTCTCTGGTATAGGGTCCTTGGAAGCCATTACTAGCAGGTTCACCCAGCTGAGGTATGGCCTCTCCAGGTCTTGGTGAATCTATGACGAAGGTACGACCATAGAAAGGTACTCCCAGTACCACCTTATGCGGCGGAGCTCCTTGCTTCAAGATGTAGTTGATTGTGAATTCCTTGAAAAAAGTAGACAGGATTATAGGAAATTCATCCCGATCAAATAAACGGTCTTAGTATCAAAAGTCTCCATGGTCGCTTGGTCCTAGTATTAACGGTTTCCGAGTTACAGAGTGCACGAAAATAGTACTTGTATATTAAAAAAGAATATGACCTTACGCACGACACCAACGTGACAACGTGCTCTTATGATTTATTTGGCCATATATCAGAAAATTAGTAGCTACTATAATGTCGATATGGATTCTACCGAATGCTGAATATCAGATACACAGACACACATCACACAGACTCTAGCGAGGGAACACATTCTGGCGCTGTCTTAAAAATCCGCCAGGTGGTACCTCCACGTTCGACAGTCAGAGAGACCGTCTACCACCTACGAAAAATCAAGACATTCATATACAAGAGAAAAATTTTCTTGGGACGGAAATTTATAAAGTCGGCACAATTCCTATGAAAAACAATTCCCGGCAAAATTGGACGATATTTTGGTGTATTGTTCCCCAAATCATTTTGATCAGAAGTCACGAAGAAGCCGCTTAGGCAGAGGCCTAAATACCAGGCATCACGGGTGAGCTTAAAGAAACTTTGTTAATCCGACTTATGAACTGCCTAAGGTTAGTAGAACTATGAAAAACCTCCTCAGGTAGACTGGTCCACAATCTCGATATCCAGGAACAAAGGAGGGGTCGTATCGGCCAGTTCTGGATATATAAAGTTCGACACGGTTGGGAGGCCGAAGTTAGGAGGGTCAGTCTGGCAGGCACGTTGCGCGGCCGCATCATGGAGGAGAGCTCTGAGGAGCGAAGCCTGTTGTCATAGCGGTAAAAGAGAGCTAGATCGCCTAGGCTCACCCGGTGCAGAAGGGTTCAGAGACTGTCTGTTAGTAAAAAGTCATCGATCAGCGGTTTCTGACTTAAACGGTGCATAAGTATGGCGGTTTCAAAGAAATGATTTGAATTTTGGGCAAAATAATATTTGAAGGTTAACATCGGTATTTTTGGTCGGTGACATGAATTTTAACAGTGTAAAAAATCTCCCACAAGAGAACTCTTCGATTGTAGATTATGTCTTGTCATAAATTGAGCAACTCTGTAACTTTTTTCTATGAGAGTTTAAACTTGCTACAAATCTATTAAGTGTTTTTACAAATACTCATCCAGATGACATGCTGAACATTAGTCGGCTATCACAGATTGGCCAGAGGACCCCGCAACTATACGTCCCAACCAAATTTAGCGAGTCTGCTGAATGCAATGATTGCGATGGATCTATCGTGACCACTTATTCACAGTCAGCACACAAAAGTGCATCAAAAAAGGTAGGCCGGTCATTTTGTAATGAATTATTTTTCAAATCAGACCGTTGATTTCCATCGAGCATGTGAATTCGACAGCTGTCGAAGGTTGTAGCTTCAGAATATTAGTTTTCAGACCTAGGTCCTATTGATTTTTTTCAGATTGAGGACTATTGAGGATTGAGGATTTTTGGAATCAAACTTGAAATTAGATGTAAGTAATACTGTCATTGAAATAGGCAGGCAAAGAATCTGGGCTTACTCATTGATCCGGATCCAAAGTTCAGGGATCACATAACGAAATGCATACAGAGTATGCGCATCGCTAAAATTACTATATCCCCATAGATCATATTTATCAACAGACACTAAGAAAATATTGTACGATACGCTAGTACTTTCACAATTTATATACTGTGCACCTGTATTTGGTCCATGTTTAGATCCAAACAGTGTTAATCGTATTCAACGTATACAGAACTCGTGCATTCGACTCATATACGGGATCAAAAAGTATGAGCACATTTCCCACAAATTGAAGGAATTGAATTGGCTAAATATGGAGAAAAGAGTTGCGCTTATATGCTCTCTGCTTATTTCACAAGATACTGTATTATAAGAACCCCCTATCTCTACCAAAAGGTGTCATATCGCGCAGATGTCCATAATCTTGACACGAGACTTAAGCACCTAATCAATATACCATCTCACAGGACAGTTCTTTTTGAAAGAAGCTTCAAATTTACAATGGCTAAATATTACAATTCTCTTCCTAATTATCTTAAATCATGCAATCCACATACATATAAGGAACTAGTTTCGGATTACTTCATGACCAATTAAATTATTACAACTTCCAAGTTTAATTCAGGCGACCCTATGTGTTTTTTGGTTACATTTAGGTTAGGATATTTTTCTTACATGTATTCTACTACTGGCAAGGGTTGAGTGGAAGAACACGTCTAGGTGAACTCCCTCTTGAGGTTTTCCCAATACCATGATTTTGTTTCTCATGTGTGTGTGTGTAAGATGTACGTATATGATGGGAAAATAAAGAACATTATTATTATTATTATTATAATTCAGCAAAGCTTTGTTTAATTTGACCGGAATCAGTTTTCCATAAAACTAGTTGCGGTGTCCTTTGTCTCAAGTCGGCTTTGAGTCGTCGTGTCGCCTACACATAGACAGTATAATAGATTGTTTGGACCACGGGAATTATAGGTAGAGGAAGTGGAATATGTCGACTCTGGAATATGTTGATAATGAGATTGATATGACGACACGTGGATGATTAAAAAAGGTTAAATAACAATAATAATGATAAATTGTCTTTATTCGATTCTTTCACATACATATTATGTCCAACATACAGCAATAGGCATTGATAAGTGACTAAAATTTTGAGAATCGAATCGGTGAAGTGTTACCATGATGGTATTTTTCAACTCAACCGTACATCCTAATATGAAATTGACCTGAACGGCTCAAAAATGAATAATGCGATATATTACTTTAGTTTTCTGTTTTTTTTTTTTGTAAAACTAGATAAATTTATCGTATGTGACCAATTTATTTCAAAACTATCAAGGTCGATTGGGTGGCAGAGTGGTGAGGGAGTGATTATGTTCTGCAGAGTAACCACGACTTCAGCTTCTTTTTAAAATTGTTGAGAGTTTAATTTCGAAATTCAGATGGAAGATTATTGTATAACTTGGCAGCAGTATAAGAGAATCCCTTCTTGTAGAGAGTCGTAAAGTGCTTAGGTATAACTAATAATTGTCGATTTCTGATGGCCAAATTATTGATGTTTTCAAATTTATTGAGTTTATTTAAAAGATATTCTGGTTTCTTATTCACTAAAATTTTATGAAACAAACGTCAACTTTGGTATTTTCTAAGATTCTCCAAGTTTATTTTACAATTCTCTTTGTACACATGGCTTATGTGATGAAATTTCGGTATACCTAGAGAAAAAATAATTTTGTAGCCGTTATCTTTATCATTTTTTATAGTATTATAGCTGGGCCATATACGTACACTTGCGCAATATGAAACCCTTGAAATTATAAGAGCATCACACAATAGCATTTTCAGTTTACTGTTTAATATATTTCTTTGAGGATATATTTGTGAACATAATTCTTTAACATGGAAATCAAATTTTAATACATTGTCCAACCACCCTAAATTATTGCTAATGGTTACAATTGGTAATGGAATTTAATTAATAATTGCTAATTGACAAAGATTTTCAGCTATATTACGCTTGTTTCTTGGCCCAAAAAATATTATCTCAGATTTATTAGCATTTAGTATCAAGTTATGAGCTGCTGAGATATAGAAAAGTAAGTCCAGATTGATGTTAATTAGATTAACAGAGGGAACTACAAAGTTAATGGCAAAGTTGTAGTATATTTCTGTATCATCTGCATAGTGATGAATTTTGCTGTGTTTTATATGTTTTGAAAAATCCGAAACGTATATAGAAAATAGAAGAGGACTGAGAATGGAGCCTTAGGATACACCCATTTTTAGGACCGATTTATTAGATAATTCGATATTAATGGAGATATACTGATATCTTTTAGTAAGGAAGCTTTTTATAAATTGGGCGGCAGCAGAGCTAAATCCATAATATCTAAGGTTGGCACACAAAATGTCGTGCACAAACGATATCGAATAAGGTTGTAATTTTTTAAATTCAACACCCTGTATACTTTTAGGATTACAAATACAGTGCTATCTCGATAATCCGCCATTATAAAACCCAGACTAGCGGCGGATTGCCAAAAACGGCGGATTACCGAGAATAATGAATTACACGATGTACGTATGTATATACATATTATATTCCATAAATAACAGACTTAATATTTCATACTCTGTACCGATTTATTGGGTTTGTTTTGTTGGACATAGATACATATCATGTGTACACAATTTATGTATTTTGAAGGTACTTTTCCAAAGTAGTTTGTCTTTTCCCATGGTAGATTTTAGCAGAAACGGTGGATTACCAAGTTAAATGTTTAAGAATGGGCGGATTGTCGAGTTGGTGTCAATGCTACAAAAACGGCAGATTACCGTAGTGGGCGGATTATCAAGCGGCGGATTATCGAGAGAGCACTGCATATAGTTTGTCTCACTTATTCCCATTACTTTAGTCAAAAATTCAATTTTTGTGTGTAATTTATTTGTCTGTATCCGAGTTTATACCGGTGTACATTTACCTACCTATGGAATTTGGTATAAGGCCGAATACACGAATGACATAAAATTTATGTTTTTGGTGAAAATAGTGAAAATAACTATTATGAATCCCATAGGTTTATCTGAAATCACTGCCGTTTTCATGTTTTTCACCCACATTATATGGTCAATTCAAACCACATATGTTTAAATTTCTCTTTGTTGTACTATGTTTAGACCACCGTGGTTGCAATTGAACATATATGTGGTTTGATCCAACCAAACAGTGTCCTAACAGCTTTGAGACGCTCTGTATACTAGAAGATATTGCACGAAAAACTCTATATTCGACCCTATAACTTTTGTATACATCTTTTTGTCTAAACCGTCATACAAACAAGTTAGTGGGGGTCTAGTATATAGTGGAACACCCCATATATAATTACGAGGAAATGTGCAAGATTGTTTAAAAATAGTTAATTGTAGTTATTCCACATATAAGCAGCT